CAACATATGTGAGTCAATAAATGTAATACATCATATCAACAGAGCCAAAGACAAGAATCACATGATCATCTCAATAGATGCAGAAAAAGCTTTTGATAAAATCCAACACTCATTCATGATAAAAAAAACCTGCATAAAATTGGAACTGATGGTTTTTACCTCAGTCTAAACCATTTATGACAAATCAATAGCCAACATCATACTAAATGGACAAAAACTGAAAGCTTTTAACCTAAAATCAGGAACAAGACAAGGATATTCACTATCCCCACTTTTTTTCAATATAGTTCTGGAAACGTTAGCCAGAGCAATTAGACAAGAGAGAAATAAAGGGGAAAAGGACAGGAAAGGAAGAAGTTAAACTATCATTATTTGCAGATGACATGATACTCTACATAGAAGACCCCAAAAGCTCCAACAAAAGACATTTAGATTTAATATAATCAAATTAAGTAGTGTAGCTGGATACAAAGTCAACACTCAAAAATCAATAGCATTTCTATTCACAATGAACTCACTAAGAGAGAAATTACGGAAACCACACCCTTCCCAATAGCATCCAATAAAATGAAATACTTTGGAATCAATTTAACAAAAATAAATATTTTTACTTATACATTGAAAGTTACAGTACTCTTTTAAAAAATCAAAATGTATTTCAGAAAATGGAAAGATATTCCTTTCTCATGGATAGAAAGAACCCATACTGTGAACATGGCCATGCTCCCAAAATCAACATACAGATTTAATGCAATCCCAACAAAAATATCATTGACATACCTAACAGACTTAGAGAAAATATTCCTAAAATTCACTAGAACCTGAAGAGATGTAGAATAGTGAAAGCTATCCTGGGCAACAAAGGCAAGATAAAAGGCACAACAAACCCAGACTTGAAATTACACTACAAAGCTACTGTCATAAAATCAGCATGGTACTGGCAAAGAAACTTACCTCAGGATCAAGAGAACAGAACAGTGGATGCAGATGTAACTATAAAGACACTCAGCCACCTTATCTTTGACGAAGGGGCCAAACATGTTCACAGGAAGATAGTCTCTTCAATAAATGGCTGGAAAAACAGGCTTTCCACATGCTGCAGACTAGAATTAGACCCATGTCTGTCACCATCAACTAAACTAAAATCAAAATGGATCAAAGGTCTGAATATTAAAACAGAAACTGGAAGACAAAGTAGACAGAAATATTGAAGACATAGATGTAGGCAGAGAGTTCATGAACAAAACCCAAACTGCAGGGGAAATACTTCAAAGAATCAACAACTGGGATGTCATCTTCTTAAAAAGTTTTTGCACATCAAAAGAAATCACCAACAAAGTGAAAAGAATACCCACAAATGGGAAAAAATTTTAGCCAACTGTCCCTCAGACAGAGGACTTCTATCTAGAAAGAATGTATACAATATTAAAAAAAACAGACTCCCCAAATTCAAAGGACCAGTTAAAAAATGGGCATCTGACATTAATACATACTTCTCAGATGAGGAAATACAAATGGCAAACAAATATATGAAAAAATGTTCTACATCATTGGTCATTCAAGAAATAGAAACTAAATTAACAAGATAACTGAGATAATTGTATTTCTCATTCTATTGTTCTTTGAAAGGAACAGCTAGTGCTCATATTGCCTGATCAATTTTGCTTGCCTATATCTGGTAACCTGAGCAAATCTTTTGAAGATAACAATATGAACTATAATAACCAATGTTAATTTCCTATGTTTTGAAATTCTATATTATTTTTGTTTTTATTCTCTTTAAAATTAAACGTTTATAAAATCAGAGAATGATGGAGAAGCAAAGAAAAATTTCCTTTAATCCTTACAGGATAATGTGTTGATTTGAAACAAGTTCATGTAAGTGACGTAAGATTTTGATGTAATATTTTTCTCTTTTACCAAGCCACGTCATCTACAAACAGAGCAGGTTTAAGGGAATCAATAGTGGTTGAGTTCAGTCTGGACTAGGTGTGGTGAGGCTCTGTGGTAGACCTGTGCTCATTGTCCTTACTTGTCAGGAATGAAGCTTTATTGTTGAAATTATAGCATGCCAGGAGATCACAGTTGTGTTTTAAGCAAAATATAACTATATTTCAGCAGTGTATTTGAACACGGAACTGGAAGATTCACTTAGGCTGAACCCTACCTTGCTTTTATTATGGAGGAGGGGTTGTCTTTTATTTATTCCCGTATCTCCAACCAAGCACTTGCCCTCAAACATAGGAGATGCTCAATAAACATGAGTTGAAGAAACTGAAGACTGGGACTGAGGTTCTTACCCTGTCAATCATTAATGAGATGTTCTCTGCTACAGTGAAGATCTTAAATATCCCACAAAGACTCAAAGACTTGGTCACAAGTCTGTGATGTTGCTGGGACCTTCAGGAGGCAGAGCCTAGTAGGAGGTGTGTTTTTGAAAAGAATATCAGGTAAGCTCTATCTCTCTCTGTCTCTCTCTCTTATTACCTGGCCACCACGAAATGTGCTTCTGCCATGATTTACTGTTCTTCCACACACCCAGAGTGATACATTGTTTTCCTCCTTTGAAGCTGATTATCTCAAATATTTGTTACAGTGACGAAAAGCTAGTAACTCCCAACCACTTCTCTGGCTTCAACCATCATCTCTGAAGTAATGAGTTTCAAAACTAAACAATTAACTTTATCTTCTTCCTGCATGTTTAGAACCTGATAACGAGCTAGCTCCTCCTGAACGTTTTTATTTAGATGCTCCATAAATAGCCCAACTGCATGTGGCTGCTCCTGAACCCATCATCTTCTCCCGAGCTTGCTCTTTCTTAATTAATGATCCCCAGCTTCATTAATGGAACCACCATCTGTCTAGGTGCCCAAGAGGACAAACAAATGAGTGTCTTTGCTTCCTTTCCTTCTTTGCTTTTGAAATCTTGCTGACTCTAGCTCAAAAATGTCCCAGATTTGTCATCCCCAGTCCCGAAGCTTCTGTTTAGATTCTCATCATAATCTTACCTGGATTATTACACTGATTTCCTAACTAATTTCTCCTCCAATATTTCTGTTTCAAAGCATCTCCATGGCATCTGTCTAAATTCAGGTATAATTAAATTATTTCCTTCTCTAAAAATATCAAGTCTCCCTATCACCTAAAGAACACAGATTCCTACCCAACTCTAAAAGACTGTCATAATCTGGCCCCAAATTCCCTTTTTGATCTCATCCCTTGGTGAGGGAGATAAAATTTATGCCTTTGGTGAGGGAGATAAAATTCATCTCCTTCACCATCCAAATGAACATGACCTATTTTAACATTCATGATTTCTCACTCTTCTCCAAATAGACCATATTCTCTCTCTTTGCAGACTAGTGCAGAATCTTCCCTCTCAACTTTTTATTGATGGCAGTCCCTTACTCCAGAGTTCCTACTCCATCCAGAGCTCAGCCCACACCTCACCTCCTCTGAGCACCCTTCCTGGGTCCTCCATGGCAGAACTAACCATTCCTCAAGCTTGTTTCCCCAAGACTTAGCCCATGCATCTATTACAACACTTATTTCTATCCAGTCCTGTTATTTTATTTAGTATTATTTTTATTTGTGTATGTGTGATCTCATAGCTTAAGGGGGAGCCTGTTAGAGAGCAGTGCCTGTGGATGCTTGGGGAGTACCTCCCACGCAGGGTGTGAAGGGCATAACACCCACTTCACCACCCTCCCTTGGGAAAACAGCCCACCGAGGGGTCAGCCTGCAGTCTCAGCCCACCCCAGGCCCATGCTGGGCAGTAATCCTCTCACATCACTTTGCAAAAGAATCCCCTGGCAGATCATTTCATCTTCTTCCTTCTCTGAAAAAGATGGATTCAGTAATGATCAATGCATCATGTTTGAAATGCTCCCTGAATTAGATGTGCATAGAGAGACCCCAGAACTGATCCTGGGTAAAGGAATTGTGTCTGGAGAAAAGATACGCATTTTTGTAGAACTGGGAATGAGAATGGAACTCATTTATATTACAGAATTGAAATGAGCAAATGTATGCAACATCCTACCTTGGAAGCACCCCAAAACAAATGGGAGACATCGGCTAAGTTCTACTTAACTTTTAGAACCTCATTTAGAGTTCTATATCACGGTATTTAAGGCAGCCTCAGACAGGCTTAGATTCTTCTCCCATAATCAACCAGGTTTACCCAAAGCAAAGGTTTTCATTTAGCGCAGTGCAGTGCAGAATGCTTGCCTGGCCTTCTATTCGACAGTAAATTAGGAGATGGCAGAGTTGTGCTTATTCATCCTAGTCCTCTAAGATCCTAGCTTACTCTCTATTACCTGTTAAATGTTCTGGAAATACTTGTTTAATTAAATTGAATGAAATAGTCCTCCTGTCATACCTCAGGAGACCAATGAGCACATTGCTAGCCCTCGGATATTTCTGGACTGAACAAATGAGCGTACTCCGACACTCACAGAGCGCTGAGAGAGGAGAGGGGAGGGTTATGGCTTCCAGCCCCATCCCAGAGCACACAGGATCCCAGTCCACCAGCAGGTAGCACAAGGGAAGGAAGGACCACAGCTTTATGGAAAAGTGATATAATCATCCTTGGAATTTCCAGGTAGAAGAGATCTAGGGCCAGAAACCCTCGCCAGGGAAAGAAATGCGGGTGTGATTTGGATTTGGCGGAAGGCAAGCAGAGAATTGAAGCTCAACTGCAGTGGTGGACCTCGGACTCCAGCTTGGGGCTGGATGGGTTGGGGCTCTGGGTTTGCACCCTCTGACAGCCCCTCAGCCCCAAGTGGAGAGAGTGATGGGAGGACTTGGGCTGTCCCGCAATCAGTACACAGCCACAGGGTCTTAGGCACAGGTGGGGCTGCCCGCCTCGTCCAGGAGTCCCCTGGTGCCCCCACTCTCCTCCCCACCCCCCAGCAGGGTCCCCCGGCCCTGCCCCCGCGGGATGACTCAGCCCGGCTGACAGCAGGCGCGGCCAGGCAGGAGCGCGCCAAGTTATGAGACGGTAACTCGGCGCGAGCCAGCGTCCAGGGTCGCGGCTCGGGCCGCGAGGGGTGTGGCGGGCGCGGGAGGGCAGATAAAAGGGGCGGCCCGGCGCCGGGACCTCTTTCCCAGCCGCGCAGCTCCGCAGAGGCCGCCGTCGGGGCGCGGGCCGGGATCGGGGGTCCGTCCGGGGCGCACAGACTGGGCATGGCGGCGGCGGTAGCCTGCGAGCCGGTGGCCAGGCCGAGCCTGACGTCCATCTCGTCGGGGGAGCTGCGCAGCCTGTGGACCTGCGACTGCGAGCTGGCCGTGCTGCCGCTGGCCCAGCTGCTGCGCCTGCAGCCCGGAGCCTTTCAGCTGCGCGGCGACCAGCTCGTGGTGCCCGGGCCGGGGGAGCCGGCGACCGTGCGCGGGGGCTTCAACGTCTTCGGGGACGGCTTCGTGCGCCTCGATGGGCAGCTCTATCGCCTCAGCAGCTACATCAAGAGGTGGGTGCCTTGCCGCGCGTCCCCGCTTAACGCCTGCTCCCCTCGTCCAGCTGCCCATGCAGCACCGGGGAGCCCTCGCGCCCCCTTTAACCGAGACCCCGATTGGCCTCTCGGTTTTTCTGCAGCCTCTAGCTGTTCTCCCTGTTAAAGTTACAGTCTGCAAGCTGTCTCCACCTCGGCTGCTCCCTCCCTTTGCACTGACCCTTTGCAGCTGCAGTGTGAAGCAACCCAGAGGGCACCCCGGCGGGCGTGCGGCGAGGGCAGTGTGGGGGCGCTGCGGACGCGCTCTGCTCCCGCCCAAATTGCGTAACTGTGGTTACTTTTTCCTTCCAGCTCAACTGGGTCAGATGAGCTCAGATGCGGCCACACCCTTTAGGGAATGTTTGTCTTGCTGAGACTCACACCCTCGCTTCAGATTTGGAGATTTTGGAGGGCGGGTGTGCAGTTCTGAGCACAGAGAGCTTCTCTAGTGAGGCTGTCCAGGTCCAGAGCAGCAGCGAGAGAAAGACTTTTATCGCTTAGTGTATCGCCAGCCATCCTCAACTAACCAGCGACCAACCAATCGGCCACGGTGGAGAAAAGCCTGGGAACGTGCATCCCCTAGAGTCGGCAGATAAATTCTGCGGAAATAAGCGCAGTAAGCCTAACTTCTGGAGTCTGGTGCAGGCAGAGCTTGGGCCCCATTTGCAGCCTTAATTGAATGGAGACTCCCCGGGATGCTAAGCTGATGTGGCTAGAGTGGCAGAAACACCTCTAGGCAGACCTAAGGTCAGCAGAGGAGTGGCCCATCTACCTGAACAGGCTTGGATGGTGAGGGATAGAGGAGAGCGACCCCCGCCTCATTCTGCCGGACCTGGGGCTTGCAGCGGTCGCCCTCGGTAAAGCCCCATATGTTTATACTGCTTTTCTCCAAAGAAGTTTGCTGCTGGGAGAGATGGGGCTGGGCACTGTGGCGGTGAAATGGACCGAGAGGCGCAAGCAAACAAAATGAAGTATTCACAGAGCGCGTTTCAAAGCTGCTGGCAAACAAACAAACAAAAAGCACCTTGGTTTTTCAAGCCAAGATGATGGTTGAGGGTATTGAATGTCTACAAAACCATTCCCCAACAAGGATCGCTGTCTGTCTGTCTCTGTCTCTGTCTTTGTCTCTGTTTCTCTCTCTCTCTCTCTCTCTCTCTCTCTCTCTCTCTCTCTCTCTCTGTCTCTCTCTTTCTCTCTGAAGAACTAAGTTAGAAATCAGATTTAAAAACATTTAAAAAGAAGATAACTATTGTATTAGAAAACAAGGTACGACAATTAATTGGAAGCATAGATAAGGCTTTTGACAGAAACCAGCTTTCCCAATCTTATAGTAAACAGGGCTGCAAAATTTAGAATGATTTTGACATCAGTTATTAAACCTCTGCTTTGAACTCTTCCAAAATAAAAATGAACAGCAGTGGTCCCTTGGCAATTTAGAGCCAGTAATGATCACGTGAAACATCCAAAGGGCAGCCATGGAGCTGCACCAGCTCTTACTGGATAAGGAAGTGTGCAGGAGCCTCTGCACCCTGGGGAGTAGCACAGAGTCCCTGAAAATAATTTGTGCAATAGAAGGAGCAGTTCCTCTTCCTTGAGGGGATGCACCTTGGCAGGGAAGGACTTGCAGCCCTGAAGGGTGGCTAGAAGGAAATCTGGCCTGGGGGAGAGAGCCCAGTAGAGTTGTGGGCAGCAGGGAGACAAAGGAGGACACACTAAACCAGACGTCCCTCTGATCTGCAAAACACAACCATTTGTCTTTGTTTTTGGAAACTGCATAAGCTTTCTCCCCCAAATACTGCTCCAGAACAGTGTCTTTCTGTGTCTCTTGCCCTTTCTCTCCCTCCTTCTCTTCCTCCTTTCTTTCCTTCCTTCTTTCCTTTTTTCCACATTTCCTTTTTCTTCATCTTCCTCCTGCTCCTTGTTCTTTTAGCTCTGCCTGGTTTTACTAAAGAGAAGATTTGCAGATTTACCTTTTTCACCCATCTGTCTGTCATGCTTCCGAGTTTTCAGAATCGCCTGGATCGGTGACAGCCAGGGTGCTCGTATTTTTCACACGCTGTGCCCAATTTGACATTACCGTCACTGTGATATGGGAGGCACAAGTTTTGAGTGTCCCTTGCACGGCCCTATGCTTTGGCTCCTCTTGAGGCGGGGCAGTTGATGAAGAACGAGCAGGTCTGCTTCTGCCTGGTCTGCATCCTCAGACTCTGTACACACTTTCCATTTGTCCAAAGAACTGAAGGCTAGAGTTGAGGGACTCGGTGACTTCTGCGTCTTCGTGGCCACCACATTCCCACCTTAGGTAGGATGGCTTCTAACCAAGGGCAGCAACCAAGACAGCCAGGGGCTGAGAAAGGCACAGTGCTGTTGCTTAAACATTTTGAACTACGGCTTTTAAGAACTGTATGGAGACCTTTTCCCCAGAAATGTACACATATTACCAATACTGTTAACCGTTCAGTTAGTTAATAAAATACTTGGATCAGGGTGAAGGATTCTTGGTCTATTAAATAGTTAGGATTCTTTCCCCAGACAGCGTATTTTTGGTGTGAAACAGCCCATGGTGTAATTAAGATTTCTTTTTAGAACCTTAGAAGAAATATGCTGCATCTTTCACAAACTCCCTTTCCGAGTAGCTCCAGAGGCTCAGAGTCACTGGTTTTTGCATGCGCATGGCTCACTCCCTCAGAGAACAGGGGGCTGATTTCTGTCCTGTCAGGTTTGTTTTCTGATACGTAGACATTCTCCTAAATATTTACATCCTAAATAAACTACAGGAGCTTCAGGTGATGGGCTACTTAATGAAAGCCACCAAGAATTTTAAAACTTCTTCCAGTACCTGCCTTAACAATATTTGTCTTACTTTGTGGAATTGATGGAAAGATCTTCATTGTTATTTTTTACTTTCCAGCTCAGGATTTTCATATATATATATATATATATATATATAAAACAACCAAACACTGCTCAGGAACCAGATAGACATACTAGGTATCCAAAGAGTTAGTCATTCAGCACTTAAAAATCTAATGAAGAATACCCTTAACTGCCCACTCCATGCACCTATGTGTTCATCTGTAATGCAGCCTCATATTTTATGTAACAGCAACATCTAGCAAAGAGGGTCTCTAATTCCTTCTCTTTGGTGGTCCCCTAGCAAGAAAGAGACATCGGGGATAATCAAAATAAGAGCTAGAGTAACAATGGTGGCTGCTGATATTTACCAAATATTATATCACAAAAGCTTATGAAGGTGGCACTATTACTGTTGTCCCTTTTTTAAAAATGGAAAATTGAGACTCACAGAGATTAAGTAACTAACCTGAGTGATGCTGTGAGAGCAGAACCAGGGATTCTAAGTACCACTGTCTAACTGTGAAGCCCCTGTTTCTAGCACATTGCCTGGAATGGGAAGTAATTTTGCCTTCCTGAAGCCAGCGGCAACTTCTCACTCCCAGAGCCCAGAAATAAATAACTGTGATTCCATCAGCCTCTGTGCATCTTGTATAATCAGTGTAAAAGACAAAATAAGCATGGGGGTTTTAAGGAAGCCTCTAAAAGCAGAAGTGTCACTGGTCTTGCCCATAGCTAGACAGATGTTAGATGGGTGACAGTCACACCCACCTCTTGGCAGGTACCAGACAGACAGCAGCAGAGGGACTGTGGGACTCAAGGATGAAGCAGGACCAGGGTCAGGGCTGGCACATGTTAGATCTGTGCTGGGTGGCACTCACCCTCCAAGAGCAGGAAGTGCAGACTGTTCTAGCCCAAACCTGGTTGTCGCAGCTCTTATGTAGCCCAGAGAATTGGGCTCTGCTTGTTCCTGCCTGTGACCTCTCTTCTGCATGGAGTCTTAGGCATGCAAACCTGCTCAGGCCAGTGGTCCCTTACCAGAGCACGTCATGACATTGATGAGACACTAGTGCACACACTGAGCTATGATTTTGATGACAGTCAGTCTAGGGGAAGACTGGATGAGGTGAGTGCCAGCTGGGAGTCCTTGGGAAATTTCCTCAGTATCTGTGTGCCTTGGTTTCTTTGGATATTAAATGGGAGTAATAATCCCCTCAAATGTAAAGGGTTGTAGAGAATGTAAATGGGGAAAATCCTGGAAGTATTGATTGGCCCATAATAGACACTTGACATGTTCATTTTTATACTGCTAAGTAACCTCATAAGGCAAGTGCACAGGACACGCTGTTTCATTTGTTAACAACTACCCTACCCATATCTTTCATTGGCTGATGTAATTTACAGGTGAGGGAAATGAGTTTCCGCGAGGCTAACCACCTGCCAAGACAGGCTCACACTCAGATCTGATGCCTTCATCTCTGGCTTTACCTCCTCCTGAGCCTTTCTCTAACTTCTAGTCATACTCTGGTCTGCACTATGACAACCTGATCCTTGCCGCATGTCTGCCGGTCTGCCCAGATGCCGCTACTGCATTCCCCAAGTATTGGTCAAGCAGTGGCTTTTCCTAAGGTCCCATCCTCACCTTGCTTTCAATAAATGACTGATTCCAGGGCCCTCTTCCTGGGTCTGTGAATGCAGAAAACTGTGCACCTCTCTGGCATTTGCACATTTGAATGACTTGCCAGTTTGTAAGTCTCTGAATGGCAGGTGCCATTTCTTAGACTGATGTGTTTAGAACTTTGAATCGGCGTGCAAGTCTCTTGGGGATCTTGATCTAATCCAGATTCTTGTAAGACTGGGAAGGGGCCTGCATCCTGCATTTTAACAAGCTTCCAAGGATGCTGGTGCTTTTCATCCAGGGATCACGCTTCAAGTGACAAGGTCGTATATATCCATCATTTCTTATGGAGATGATATAATTTTATCTGTCCCTCAAATACATGTGGATAGCACTTGGAAGCAAGACTCTTCTTTCTCATTTTTGTGTCCCCTGAGGCAGTGCATAGCAGGTGCTTAGTAAATTTTTATTGCACGAATGCACCACTCTCTGTCCCATTACAATTTTC